CGGGGCGGCCGGCTCGCGTCCCTCCGGGTGGCTGAGCGAGCGCTGGGGCTGAGCCCTGCGAGTTTGGAGGAGGAGGAGGAGGAGGAGGAGAACACATTGATCTGGACTATTTTGTGTGAATTTGTGAATAATATTTATGAACAACAACAACAAAAAAATCTCTGGCCAGTACCCAGAAGCAGGAAGCTGGGAATTCCCACAAATAATCCTTACAGACCTTCCAGAGAGAAAGCCCAGGCAGCTGCCTCTGATCTTAGACATTCATGCCAGTGTTAGACACAGAAAGCCAAGTGCAAGTGCCAACACACACACACACACACACACACACACACACACACACACACACAGAAACATGCACTGGCTAAAGAGCACATAAGCCTGGTCTCTTGCACGTTCCAACTGGTAGGATTCATGGAGTGTGACCACCACAGGTGGCATTTCTAGGACTAGACACTTTGGTAAAACATTTCTTTCCCCAAAGAAGCTGAATAGTGGCAGCCTTAGGCATTTGATGGGCTATTTTCCCCAGATGTTACTGATGCATTTCTCTTTGGTTTTCTTCACCTCATTTATTCTCTAAGGTAGAGCAGGCAAGATTAGTAATATTTGACTGGAAGAGAAACTGAGGCAGGGAGATGTTTGTATCGTCTCCAATTACATAGGGACCAGGCCAGAAGTTTAAAAATAATGACTTGCCTTCCCAGCCTGGGGCAGCCCCAAAGCCTTGTGTACGTCTCACCGATCTCCCAGCTCTATCTCGTGAGTCAGCTCATCTGCTCCTTCCAAGACATCAGGCCTCATTCCTGCAGCAGCTCCTCCTTCCCCATTCCAGAGAACAACCTTTTCTCTGCCCACCCCAAATTCCAGTCATCAGTACTTCACCAAACTGGCAACTCATGAGAACCAACTGAGGAGGCCAGAAACTAATAGACACCTGGGGTCTCCTGCTTAGATCAATGAAGCCCAAACCCTTGAGATGGGACCCACAATATCAGAATTTGTTTTTTAAAGCCCCCAGGGTATTTTGATTTCAGAAGCAGAACCCCATCTTATTTAGTTTTGAATCACTGCCTCTTATGTGCCTAGGCCATAGTGTGTGCTCCCTATGTGTTTATTAAACCAACAAATAACCCATTTACTTGTGATGATGCCAACATTTCCATGTGAAGTTCACTTGAGGTCTGACACACAGAGGACTCCTGTACTCTGCCACTGCCCTGTTTCTAAGTGATGTCCTCAGTATTAGAGAGTCTGTGGGTGCTTTTCCTTTAGCCTGTCTTCACCAGCACCGGTAGGGCAGCATGGACACAAGCAGAACCATAACAAATACACCTCCTGTGGTCACAAAATGTTATTCTGTATTGACAAAGGAAGAAAGTGCTTGCGTCTTAAACAAATCAAACTAATAAGTAAGCAAGAAACTGTTCTCTCAGCATGCTCACTCCTTCCCACCTACAATCTTACACACATTCAAGTCTGAAACCAAGAATTAAGTGTTCCTGGAAGCCTTCTCTGACCATCCAGCTCACGTCAATCTCTCACACTTCTAGAAAAATCAGAATCTTGATCATAAATTCTCTAGATGAAAATGTTTGGTAGGGTTTATTAGGGGTATTGAAGGGTGGGAGTTGTAAGGGATACAATTGTGGAAATGTGTAGCAAAATGCAAATAATAAAAATGATAATAATGATAATAATGGATTTTGATGACGTCTTGTGTTGGGTTTTCCTCTTAATATGACCATGGCCTTCTCTCAGTCTCAGTCTCTCTGTCTCTCACTCTCTCTCCTTGCATGTTTCTGTCTCTGTCTCTCTGTATGTGTGTCCAGGGTCTCACCATATAACCCAAACCCAGACTTACCTTGAATTTATGCTTTAACTTCCCAAATGCTAGGATTATAGGTGTGAGCTACCACACCCATGCTTCCTATTTGCCACAGGCTACAGCTCAGTACCAGACACAGTTTTGGCTTAACTGATAGGAGTAAGAGATTCAAAGCTTCTCAGTATGTAGGTGCAAGGGGAGGAGACGAATCTGGAGAGAGGTGTAGGGACCTAACTGGTGCTGAGAGAACATTCTTTACCCCAACCTTGGCTGTGGCCCAAAGGTCCATATCCAGCACAAAGTGCTGCTGTCCACTTTTCTGATACTGTCAACATTAGCCTGGGGGCTTCCAGCTTAGTTGGCATTGTTGATGTTTTTGACTAAAGAATTCTTTATTTGGGGGGGTCTCTGTTGTGCACTGCAAAGAATTTAACAGCATTTCCAGTAGATAACAGTAGCATCTTGGCCGCTGTGACAACCAAAGATGTTTCTAGGAGTTGTGAACTATCTCCCGGTGAGAGACAAAATCACTCCCACTACAGAGCCCTGCCTGAGCTAGACACTTCATTGCTGCTTGGATGTTTTGCCACCCTTGATAATAAGGAAGTCAAAATAAGCACTGGGGATGTGCCCTTCCTCACCTAGTGCAAACACCAAACAGCTGAGAAGCCTGTGAACTGCTGTTGCTCTGGGCCACAGCATCTCACCAGGAAATGAGCTGAGATCAAACAGAGGAATCAGGTCCCTAGTTTTAAAGTCCCACCCCCAGCTCTGGAAACTCAATGTAAAGAACATGCACACAAATAGACTAAGCAAAAACTTCAAGATGCAGCCGTACACCCAGGTCTGTTGAGGGCAGGGGCCGGTGGAAGTTGTAAGGGACGTGTATGCGGGAATGTGTGTGGAAGTGTACAGGATAGCAATGATAAATGCTAATGGCTACGGAGAACACCTTGTATTAGGCATTGTGTTGGGTATTTATAAGCATTATCTTAACCACCAAAATGAGTTTTTAAAGGGCATGCCATTCATCTAATTTTCTTCACTGGTATAAAGGGGATAAAAAGAGAGATTAATTAATGTGCCTAAAGACACATGATAATAACAATTCACTGTAATCATACCATGGGTCGAGCACTATTTTACTCAGGAATGCTGATTCTACTTAATTCTTATGTCAACTCTAGGAGCTGAGACTCAGTCTTTTCCTCTATGTTCAGACACTGAGAGCCTCACCTTGCCCCTAGTCATGCAGTTAGGAAGCAGCAAAAGTAGAAGTTACGTCATGAAGGAGACTTGAGCCAGAGCTCACCTTCTCCCTTAAATTGATGCACCTGTCCTGAGGGAGAATGGGATTCGAGCCCAGCCAGCTCTCCCAGAGTGAAGATTCTATCCAACATGCCCTGATCCCATATATGTCCATATAATGTAGCATTGTAGGGATGTTCTGTATATATCTCTAGTCTTGCCTAACATGTTGGTTCTTGACTGATAAACCTGTATAAACTAAGTCACTCACATTAGTGAACACCTGTAAGCAGGGAATGTAGGAAGAGAAAAAGGAGCTGGGTCAAGGTAAATGCCGAGAATTAGTGAGTACAGATATTTTGTGGTGACCGATAGAGAACTGATGGAAAATGTATTAGAATTTGTTGACTCTTTGTGTCTGTGAGATAGAGGAGTTTAAGAGAGATCAGAGGGACTGTGACAAAAGGCAATGAGACAGGGATGAGATGCCTGATCAGATATGCCAAGCAGGTGACTAAATGATCCTGGTACCTGTTCCATTTTAAAAATCAAAATTCCTTCACCTTCTAGGGCTAATATTATGGCAGAGAACACCAATTTTTATTTATAGGTATGTGTTTGTGTCTGTGTGTGTATGCTACACATATGCAGGTGCCTGCAGAGGCCAGAAGAAGATGTAGACCCCCAGAGCTGGAGTTACAGGTGGTTGTGATGTGGGTGCTGAGAATCAAACCTGGGTCCTTGTAAGAGCAGCAAGTTCACTTAAGTGCTAAGCTATCTCTCCAGCCTCCTGTTT